TCTTCTATGATAGATACAAGTTATATTAATAATTAATATGGAAAACTGATTATATATGCTAAATCTCCAACAAGCTCTATTGTACTAAATTCTGATATTAATGTCAAAGAGAAATAAATTGATCTAGAAACTCCTTTGACCTACATAATTATTACTTTAAATATGATTGATCCTGAAAATATGGCACTAAATAAAAAGTTTTTGAATTATTATTTTCCTCTAATGATGTTAATAACCCTTATGCAATACTCAGCCACGTAGTAAAAAAACTCCATTTCTTTATACAAATAATGATGCTTTATAACATTTCAAATATTGTACTACTCTAACCCTCATTCCAAAATTTAATGAATTTCCAATAGATGATGCCTATCAATCAAATATAAATGGTTTAAATTTATCTTTCATAGGCAAAAATCTAAAATGGTTATTATATATTTTTTATTGATCGTAGTTGTTCAATGAGCGGGATAAGGATTCAAAAAGCAAACAATCACTGATACTGTTTCTGAAGAGCCTTCCTGAAGATTGTTCTTTTAACATAACTTCATTTTGTAGTAATGTATAAAAAGATGTTCGATATTGCACAAGCATATAATTAACAACCACTAAATTAGGCAATAAAGTAAGTTCAAGAAATGGATGTAGATTTTTGGGGAACTAATATTTTAGATGCATTGGTCTAAGGCATTTATGATGAAAAATATTAAAAAAGCAAATGTAGTCCAGAAACTTTAAATGCTTTTCTACCAACAGATGCTCCGGAAGATATTATCAAATTAGTATCTAAAAATCAAAGACCTGAAACTAGAATTTATACATTAGGTATTGGGAATAATTTTAGTGAGTATTTAGCCTAAAGATTAGCTGAAGTTGGAAATGGAAAATGTTAATTAGTAGGAGAAAATGAGAATAATAATTCTAAAGTTATAGATTTGTTAGAGGTTTCCTTAAATTATTATTTAAAGGGATTTTCATTGATACATAATATTGAAAAAGCTTCATAGATTATTTCTGATCCAAAATCAATAACTTACTTAAAGGAAAATCAAGAGTTAACTTTACAAATTTTATTTTCAAAGAAACAGAAAAAAGAAAATTAAGAATTCAAAATTAATTGTTTTGATCCATAAATGAATAAATAAATTAATTGAAGTTAAAATGAATCTTACTAGTTCTAAAGAAAATGAATATTTTCATAAAATAGCTGCTCATAAACTAATAAGATATTATGAAAAATTAATTTCCTAATAAGCTAAATAATTGGATACTGTTATGTTCAATGAAAAATTAATTAAAGAATTGGATATTATTAATTTATCATTTTAGAATCAAATCCTATGTTCTAAAACAGCATTTATTTGTGAAGTATGCTAAAACGAATAAAATCTTTAGCACTGTTAAAGAAAAAGATAAAGATTAACAAATGTTAATAGGTAAAGGATGAGCAACAGGAAGAGGAAATAATTCAAAAAAAAAGAACTAAAATGTAATTTAGATCAGCTAAAAATCGTATAAAAACCTCTAATATGATGCATTTTTTGCAAGAACCATAAATCCTGATGTGTTGCATGTAGTAAGAATCGATTTTCAGAAAAACTCTTCAGTTCATCTAAATTCTTAAAATACGATTTACAACTGCCCAAAAATTTCTTCCTAAATAAAACATCCTTTGTGCTCAATAGCCAAAAATAATATAAGAGGATTAACAAATGTTAGCATATTTTGAATTAATTGACTGTATGTAAGCAAATGGTAGTTTCCTCTTAAAAATAAATATTGAAGATTCACTATAGTTAATCATATAGATAATCAATATCATTTAGAAGATCTATGTTGGCCAACAGTTGTTTCTCTTTTTTATTTGGTTTTTTTTGTCAGGATTCTAAGAGTTCCTAGTAATAAATTTATAATAAAGCCATAAATTATTTATAAAAGAAAGGAGTTAATTATTTTTGGATTAAAACAGAATGCATTACAGATTATAGAAAACTTTTTTAGAATTGAAAAAATTGATTATATAAAATTAACTACTTTCTAAAATATATGAATTAATTAAAATGATTCTATCTTCTTATTATTTCTTTATCCATTTTTCAAGTTAGCTGGCTACAAAATTTTTTAATATAATTGAATCAAATAGATTAAATGTAATTATCATAAACATATTCAATTTGTTTTGATATAAATTTATTGATTAAAACAAACTTTAAATATTATTGATTGCATTAATATATTTTAAAATTTTATAAGGATCTTAAGCAGTAAATGAGTATATTTTTTTTCTTCATTATTCTTAATTATTAAATACACTATTTTTTAAATCTTACTTTTGTAAGGAGTGTAGTTATTATTAAATTGGTTGCTTTAAGTTGATTAAAATAAAACTAATAATAATTTTAGATGATTTCATATTTAATTCATATTCTAAATTTACAATGGCCCATTTTAATTAGAGAAATATTTTGGATATACAAATATGTTTAAGAACTAAGTTTCTAATATTTTCGTAGTATTCTACCTAATTATATTAAGTAAATTGAATTATAGATATAGTATTATAACTTTTCATGAATGGGTGAAGATTTATTTTACATAATTAATCAATTAAATATGGGAAGATGATAAAAGTAAGCTTAAATTTGAAAATTTAGTCAATTCAAATTCTTCATCCTACCCAAATTTATTATTGATGATAGAATCATAAACATCATAATTTTGTTTTATTTGTGATCTATTCAATAACTTATAAATATTTGAAATTTTAAAGATATGAATTTTTTTTTGTTATTTTTTACAAGTATGATGGATTTAATTATATGATGATATATTAAAATAAAGCGTGGGGAAAATAAATAATTCATACGATAGCTGAAATCAATTGGCTATCTTACAAATGGAAATCCTACTTCATATACTTTATATAACTAATTTTATATTCCATCATACATATAAATACTTAATCTGATAAACTTAGATATTCTTATAATTCAAAAAGGAGTGAATCAAAAAGGAAATCAAAATTATTTGGATCAATAAATAAAAAATAATTATATATCTTACCCATATGATTAATTCCTGAAGAGATTATTCTATAATAATAATCATCTACTTATTCTTAATTGATGAATTAAAAATTTCCTTAGTTTTTTATAAATTAATCCTGAAATATACCTTAATTTAAAATTTTTTAATGCTGCTCTTAATTTTGTGAATTTATTAAAAACTAAAATTATTTTAAGAATCATATTATTTTAAGATCAACATAAATAGAAACTCATAACTCAAGCAAAAACTACTTTATCATTAACCTTTTAAAATATTCACTTTACATCAAAATTGATTCAAAATAAATTTTGAAAACTCAATTTCAAAAATAAATCTGTTAATATGTTTATTTTGTTTGATTTATATTCATTAATTTTCATTTTATTTTTATCTTTGAATCATTAAATTAAACAAAAATGTGAACTTAATGAACTAGGATTAGATCCAATTTAAAATTTTATTTCCCTATTGTTGCTATTAAACCAAATTTTATTATTTATTATTCATTTCAACAACTCCAACAAATCACTCTCTCTAAGTTTTTTATCAGAATTTTCTATTATAAATGATGATTAATCGTCTAAATACTTTAAAATAATTAATGCATGATTAGTCCCATTTTTCCAATATTCATTTTATTCATCCTTTTGATTTTCTATTTTGTTTAACTTACCTAAAAATTAATTGAATTAATAATTATTTTATTAATGGGTTTCTTATTATTACTACTTTGCAAGTTCAATTGCTGCTATTTTTACTTCAATTTCTAATTCTGAAGGGCTAATTAAATTATAACATTTAAAATATTAGTTAATTTATTAAGCCTAACCTTAAATTTATTTTCCTTTTTTCATTCATTTGCATAATCGAGTGCTTCATTTCTAATATAAAATGCTTCTCCACCTACTGGTATAAATCCTGTAACCATTCATCCAATATTAAAAACCTTATGTACTATATCTAGTACTTTTTCAGAATTGCTTTCAATCATAGCAACTCTATTCATTTAATATTATTCTGAAGAAATTTGCAATTCTTTGTAATAAATAAATTGAGTTTTATTTTCTGCTTTTTAAAGCTATTTCATAGATTCTTATGTTTGAAAGCTATCCTATTCTTTCAACTATTTATTATCATCTTCTAAATTACTTATTCTTTCATTTTATTAATTTACAATTTATTATAATAGAACTAATTATTATCTAATCTATTTCATATCTACTTTAATCAATTATAATGGATCTAACTCTCCTTGCTTTTCTTATGGCTATTTAAATTTGTATATGCCATTAATTAAACTGTTAGTTTTCTTTCTAATATAGTGAATTTATCCTTCAAATCATTTAATGTTTGGTTCTTTTATTCAAATTGAGTTTGTAATTTTATTAATCCTAAATCAAATTTCCTCATATTTCTATAAAACAATCATATTTAGTTCAACATCTTGATTACCTCTGTTGAAATAATCAATAACTGCTTTAGGATCCAATTAAATAGCTTTGTCATGATCTATTATGGCTTAATATTTATATCCTAAGCTTAAATGCAATAATCCTATAATAACCTACAACCTAAATTAAGCAATATTAGGATTTAATTCTATTGCTTTATTATAATCTTCAGGAGCCTCCATTTTTTTCCAATATTTTAATAGAGCATTCCTATATATACTAATACTCTATTACCTCTGTTATTATAAGTATAAGCATCATTAGAATCTAATTCAATTAATTTGTTATAATTTATAAGCCCTATTTCATTATAAAAATTTAAACACCTCTATTATTATATGCTTTATAATTATTGGAATTTAGTTCAATCGCTTTATCATAATCTACGAGTACCTATTGTTCATTATCTATGTCTTAATGAAGATTTCCTATAAAAAATAATATGTTGATTACCTCTATCGAAATAAAAATCAAAACAATTAGGATCTAATTAAAGTGCCTTGTTAAAGTCTATAAGTGCCTATTTAGTACTTCCAATTTTAGGAAATAGAAGTCCTTTTTAACTTAATAATATAATAAACCTCGTTTATTATAAATACAATCATAAGGGTCTAATTCAATAGCCTTGTTAAAATCTAAAAGCGCCTCCTCTTAATTTCCTATTTTATCTAAAAAAATTCCTATTTAATTAAGTAACCTGAGAACCTCTGCTCTTGTATGCAAAATCATTTTATGTATCCAACTCAATAGCCTTATTATAATCTAAGATTGCCTAATCTTAATTTCCTTAGTTTTATATAAATTTCCTATTCATTAAAATGATATGATACCTCTGTTACAATATTCCAAAATACATTTATTATCAATTTCAATCACTTAATTATAATATTATAATGCATCATCGTTATTTTCAATTGCATTCTTCACACATCCTAATTATAGTGAATACTCTATACTCATGTAAGCCAATGAGTATTTAGGACTTATTTGAATGCATATTTTACAATCTTTAAAGCTTCCATAAACATATTTTTTCATTAAAAATCTCATGGCTAAATTAATTAATATACCTTACCTCTTTGATAAAACTTTTCTTCATTTGAGACCTAATTCAATAGCTTTATTGAAATCTTCAACTGCCTGATCATACATCCTTTTTTTTAAATATAAATCCCCTAAGTATTTATGATTAAAAGAAACCTCTCAATGATAAAGCCTTAGAATCTTAAGAATTAAGCTTCAAAGCATCATATATCAATTTTTCTTCAATTTTATTTTCTCTAAGCTTTAACTAGCAAATCTAATTATATATTTACAAATAAAGCTTAAGATAATTCTTCTTATAATTATTAGTTCTCTTTATTTTCTTATTCCCTTCTTCATTATGGATTTGAATCATTTTACATTTTATATAAAAATTAATAATATTTTAGCTAACATTATAGTTTTTACTTATATGAAATTTTGCTCAAACTAAAATTTCTCTAATAATATTCTTTAAAAAGAAAGATTTTATCTATTAAAAATTCAAGATTGTTTTAATGATTTGAAGAGCTTCTTAACATTTTAGAGAATTTTATGAACTATTTGTCATCAATATTTACAACTTACAGATATACTTTTCTTTGTTTTCAACAATAATATCAATAGATAATTTGAAAAATACAACTATTTAATCAGATTTATTAATTAAAAAATTAAAATTTATAATAAATTAATAATTTTCTTTTTTAATAAAAATTTTATTAAGGAAATGAGAATAAGGATTACCAGAATACACTTTCAAATTCAATTATTCTGTTAATAATCTAAAAAAAATTTAATTTCCTCTAAATTCAACTTATCACATTATTAATCCTATAATTATCTAAAAAAAAAAGATATACACCATTAACAGCAATCCTATCAATTTAATACAAGTATAGCATTATATTTTTAGATAATTTAACTTTTAATATAAAAAGCTACCTTATCTAATTTAAACTCAAGTAATCATTATGTAAA